AGGTATCACCTAGTGGGAAGAAGGAAAAGATTGTGTGCCAATCCACTGGAAATTTTAAAAATTAATTTAAAGTTAAAGTCAGAGTTCTTACTATATCATTATCAAGTTGGGGATCGGATTTTCTCAGGAAGTGGCAATGACTGTCACTGTAAAGATGTACCTAAAGCTCAGTAAAGCAGATAATTGTACACCAAGCTAGCTGGAAAATATTGTTATTATGCACTTAATAAGGCTCTTTTTCCTGACTACTTTGTAATCATTCATTAATGAATCTATACTGCCTCTGTAGGTCATCATTACAGCCAGTAATTGGAGGCTGGGTAAATTAAAATGTATACAAATTATATATCCCACACAGCCATGGAGGTAGACTGGAGATTTCATGTCCCAATGTTCTAATGTTCTAACTCTGAATGCAGGTATTATTTCTCCCTCTGTATATTTTCTGATTAACTGACTAAACAATGATGGATATATTGCTACACAGGTCTGGCTCCAGTCCCTGAATGGATCTCTACCTGTTGGTTGAGTCTGTGTATATCTTATTAGTGTGGGCTCAATTTCACCCACGAAGTCCTTTTTCCTCAGCACCTGCCTGAGATCACAGTCTCTGCCTACTCCCTGTGTATTTACATCCGGTCTTCTGCCCTGGACCTTGTTCTCTTACTTGCTAGACTTTGCTGCTGCTGCTCATATCAGAGATTCTTCTCTCTGATTCTTCTTGTGCTTGTTTATACACCTTCCTCCTCTCCAAACTGTAGGCCAAGCCGGGCATGGTGGCTCAGGACTGTAATCCCAGCCCTTGGGAGGCTGAAGCAGGAGGATCCGCAATGTCCAGGCCAGCCTGAATTACACAGTGAGACCCTGTCTCAAAAACCAAAAACAATAATGATAACAAATTCTAGGCCATCAATGAGCAGAAACCATCACGAAGTTTTTGTCTATTTCTGTAGCACTGATCATAGAGCTATGGCCTTCTTGGTCAGAAATTAGTCACCTGGTGTCTGGGCACAAGAGCAGCTTTAACAGTATGTGAAGGTGAATGTCTTTGGGTGGGCATATCCTTGGCTGTTTGTAAGTCTCTACCTTTTCATACGTATGTGATCACAGGTAAACATTTATTTCACTAACATGACCCCTGTTGACACCCTGGTTTGTGGTTCTGGCTGTAGCTGCTGAGTATATGTTAGTTTTGTGAATGAATACGTCAATGAATCTACGGCTTATTGCATGGGGAACTGACTATTACCCTAATAGTCCTAGCCTGAAAACTCCCTTGGTTTCCACCCTCGGGATTTAGGGAAATAAAGGTAGATAAGTATAGATTCAGTGTACAATGTACAAGTAAGAATTTCAAAATACTTGACAGAAGTGGGCCAGTCTGAGCATTCTACTGGTATAAGTAGGGAGGAAAACAAATTCAGTTGTGTTATCTACAGAACAGCAAACCAGTTGCTATGGGAAAGACTCAGATTTCTTCTTCCAAGTGACAGTTTTTAACTTTGGATCATCTTAACATAGGTACTGCAATTTTAAGAACAATGACCCTGACCAAGAACCCTCATGCAAACTCCACAGCAAGTTTCTGGAAGCTGATTCTTCACCTGTTCCTCACTGTTGCCATTGCCAACACAACAGAGTGTCATTTGCTAAGATGCAATTGTGGCTGCAGGGATTCTGCATCCTGCAGTATGAAACTGCCTCCTGGTCTGGGGGAAGACATAAGCAATTAGCTGGAGAGAATTCCAGTTGTCAGACATAAAAAGATTGGTGCTGAGGGAGTCCTGCTGGGTAAGGCTGATTTTGACCTGAAACAGTAAATTTGCTTCTGATGAAAGAGGGGCTAAGTCTTTTAAGACAAGTCTTCCATGCTTTTAATAGTTTTAACCTTTTCCAAGAAAGCACTACAAGATGCTCATCTTGGCCATGAAAGTTCTCCGATGTAATGGAATAGTCTAACTTTGAGTAACGTACCACCTGTGAGCATTCTGAACAAATCAGCTTGTGTTCAGTAAATGTTTACATACTTGAAGTAACTTGCCACAGAGAATCATCAAGAGAATTAATGCTGGTGTTGGCTTCCAAAGGAAGATTTTATAATAAGTTTTCTTTCTGGATAATTAGAAGATGTATTTTTCTGAGGGTCGCTGCCTTGTGAAAGAAAAGCCAAACCTGGAGAAAAACATTAAGCTAGCAAGTGACAGAGGTAGGACTGCAGTGGGCTCTAAATTTGATCTCCACACCTGCCACCATAAAAAGGAGATGACATGAAAATTATACAACACACAATAAATGCTGAGTAAATAGAATAACAAAGACTATTTGCTTTAATAATAAAGGGAATGGAATTTTTTCAATACCATGTAACAAAGTACACATACTTCCTTATAGCACATGTTACACATATGCCTCTTGGACAGTAGAACAAAGTTTGCCTTAATTGTTGCATTCATTTCACCTGCTGGTAGATCTAGATCTGCATGTTTATGTCCCAGCTATTTTTCTACTTTTGTTTTCACTGGCTCAGAAAGGATGAGAAGCACTAGTGAAAAAGAACATGAAGGATTCTAGGAATTTTCTTTTTTATTTCTTCCCTGATTTCTTCTGTGGTCCATTAATTATTGAATACTGTCTTGTTTAATCTCCATATGTTTGTGTCATTTCCTGATAGGGCTGTTTCTTAAGAGGTCAAATATCTTGTTGCAAATATCTTAAATAGGGGCTGGGGATTTAGCTCAGAGGCAAAAGTGCCTGCCTGGCAATCGGAAGGTCGTGAGTTCGGTTCCCGGTACCAGAGAAAAAAAAAAAAAAAAAAAAAAAAAAAAAAAAATCTTAAATAATGAAGACCAGAGAGTGAAAGAGCTGTCTGTTATCAATTCAAGAGATTTTACTTCCTTAAAAGAGCAACAGTTATGACATTGAACTGTGCCCATAATATGAGACTTGGTTCAAAACTTGTTTAAATTAAGAATTTCAATATAGTGCCAGTGCATTAAAAATTTATCAGCCACATAGGAGTCCAGCTGCTGTTCTAAGTGCTGTGGTGGTTATGTAGCAAAGCTCAGCTGGTAAAAGCAACAATATTATTCCCTGGGTGAAATATGTTTAGACAATGAAAAGGCAAAAACAAAACAACAATTTACCTAAAGAAGTTGGGCAGAGGACGGTATTGCGGTGGGAGGAAGGAGGTATTACCTTAGAGATTCGGTATCTTTAGCTGTTTCACTTTCTATAGCTTTTAAGGGTGGTAGAATGCTGGGAGTCATTTTCTACTTGCGGTTGGGCAGCCGGAACCACAGAACAGGAACTTCAGTGGGACAAGAGTCAGAGCAGAAAGCTTTTTGTGTGGGTTCACTTATACTATTTTAATTCATTTGTATTATTCGTCAGCTTTAAAGGTACAGTTGCTATTTCCACAGATCGCTTTTTCTTTTCTTCCTTTCACCTTATTTTCCCTGGTTGCCTCTGGCCTGTGGCAGCAGTCTCAACCTTCAGCACAGTGGAAATGAGCCAGATTAGCCAGAGGCCTCAGCTTGCTGACTCTGCCGCAAACTGGATCCATACCTTCAGGGATATTCTCAACTGTCTCACGGTTCCTGAAAACTAGGGGTAGGATCCTCTCGTACATACCAGCATGTTAGAGGCCAAACAAGACTCCTGCAAAGTTGTCTTTCTCTGCTGCAGCTATTATCATAAGTAGTTTTAATGACAATGCACCTGTTTTCTATCATTCCCTTCTAGACGGCCGTGTTTTCTAAACGCTTACACTTCCATTTCCTACCTTAGTGTGTGTAATCGTAAGCTAACCTTTTGAAGTGGTTTACATAGACCAGAGAATTTGCTTCGTAATTTCTCAGACTGTATGAGATAGCTCTATTTAAATTTCACCTCATCAAAGGGAAAGTTTCAATGAGCGGCAGGATGATCTCTCGCATTTACACGTTAGCTGCTCTGCCAAGATTTAATCTGAGGTCTTTCTGACTGCAGAGCCCGAGCTCTTAATCATCCATGACACCAATTAAACTCCTCAGTTTACACATCTCCCATTCCCAGAACGACCCACACAGCCTCGCCAGCTCTCTCTCACAGCTGAGTTAGCCTGTTTCTTTAACGCTTGAATCTAACTGCAAACTGCTGTTTCCTGGGGGCCAAGGCCCCACACCCCTCAAGGCAGGGATCTGCCTGCGCGTGCCCTTCTAAGCCACCCAGCGCCTTGCACAGCAGTTGTTAATGCCCATGAGACCCAGGCTCACCACCACGTGGAAAAAGAAACCGACCAAGCACTACAACAGGACAAACTGAAGTAAGATCACAGTGGGAAGAAAAGGAGGAAGAAAAAGAAGGCTCGGGAAAGGAGCAAAAGGCAAATATTTTAAGCGGCTTAGCCGCAATGACCGCAGGAAAACGTCTGCAGGGGATTAACCAAGCGCTCAGGGCAGCTGCCCGGCCTCCGCGCCAGCCTAGTCCTCAGACAGGGAACCTGACTCAGAAAGCGGATCTCTGCGTACTGCGCGGCTGGCTTCCACGCGCAATCGCGCAGGCGGGGCTCCAGTGGAACAGGCTGCCTGGCCGCAGTCCCTCTTCCCAGGGCTGCGGCGGTAACAGGAGAGCCTGTTCGCAGCCTCTTGATCTTTTAGGGAGCAACTGGAGCGAGGTGAACTCCTCTGGCTATCCGTGAGGACGGGTTATTAAGACAGGTCGAGTTTGCAAACCACATTTGTCCCCTTTCATCACTTGGGACGTTGGGGACACACCTTCCTCTTCCTGTGGGCCACGGCAGGAGTGATTCAGTGCCCCGCTCCGTGCCCACCAGCGCCCTGCACCGAGCCGCGGCGCCTTCTCCTAACACCTGGCGGAGCTGCGCCCGCGCGCGGCCGAGGCGGCTGGAAGGTGACGCGCCACCTCCTCCCCCTGAAGGCGGGGCTCCCGCGGCCGGCGAGGAAGTCCGGGGCCCTCGGTGATGCCCCCGCCCAGCCGCGTCGGGCTGCTTCCGACGCTCCGGGGCAGCGAGGACAGCGACAGCCACCGCCGCGGCTGGTCCCGCGCAGGTGAGGGGCGAGCCCCGCCCGGCTCTGCAGCCCCGGGACGCGGCCTGGAACAGGTGAGGGCGGCGCCGTTCACCTGGCCGCGCGGGCCGGGCCCCAGCTCTCCCCGGGTGTGGGTGTCAGCTGTCATTCCAAGTGGGGCGAGACAGGATGGGAATTCCGGGGGCCCACAGCCCCGTGGCTACTGGGGTAAGAGTGTCTGCGGGCTCAGAGGTGTCTGGAGGACCAGAAGCAGAAATTCAGGGAGTGGAGCGCTGAGGAGCTCGGGGGATAGGCAGCCAGCTCTGGGATTTCTTTGCGTGTTAAAGGCCACACGTTCAGACCTCCCAGGGCGCACTGGAGTTAATCGCCTCACTGCCACTGCCTGGACGCTTCCTGCGGAGGTCAGTTCCTCGCCTGGGGAGACTTTGATGCCTTTCCTTCCTGGGGACGGGAGGCTCAGCTCCGGCTCCTCGAGCCGCATTTGCTCAGTTACAGCACCGCAGAAAGTCCTAGAGTAGGTTTGTGGATTAGAGACTGGCTGTCTTATTCAAATTGTGTTCTGATGACTTTCAAATGCTTGGATTTACATAGGCTGCTTTGGGCTTTGCTAACACAGGTGTTGATACAGAGGGGAATTTTAGGGCACTTATTCCTGACAGACGGGAATTGACGGATGAGCACAGGGGCCTCTTTAATCACTGATACCTAAGCGCAGGGAAATCTTTCAAGGCAATCTTTCAAGTGCAGGGAAATCTTTCAAGGCAAATCTTTCAAGAGTGTCTGCCACTGGCCTGATCAGTCACACACGGCGATAATTATCAAAACCGTCCTTAAAGTCATTAGAAATCAACTACCGGGCTGGCGCTGGCTTTCAGTGGTGGAGTTTACCTAGCACGTGCAAGGCCTGAGTTCCAGCCCGGTACTGGGGACAAAGAAGCAAGAAATCAATTACTAGGTGTTTTTATCTTGTGGAATGAAACACACCAAGTAGATATTATTCCCCTGTACTGATGAGGAACCAAGGCAAGGCGCAACCCAGTCATTTGTACAATGTGAGTGGTTGACCTAGAAACTGATTGTGGATGTATTTGATATTTCACACTGCTATGCAGAGAGCTCAATCTGGCAGATTCGCTGGGAATTAAAATTCAAATTTATGGTCTTAAAATCTATCTCCTGGAGGTTAAAGTAGTCTGTCCTGAACAAAAGGAGAGCTGTTTTCATTGTTCTGATGTGGCTTAACCATGACCTAGCTGGGACACACGTGAATAGCTGGTTTTTTAAAGGTTAAGTTTATTATGTGTCTTTCTTACTGTATTTTTAAGGGCCTAACAGATCCAAATGGGGCCAATTAGTAAAACTATATATGCTCTGTCTATGTTACACACAGAAGGAAGAGCTGATTTTCATAGTATTCACTTATTTTTAGCATAATTCAGATTGATTTCTTTCCATGGCTGTGACCTGGCTACTCTTGCTACTTAGAAAGGCTTTCGTGATTGTGTATAAAGCTGTACTCATGCCTGAATGCGTCTAATATTTATTTTAAAAGACAAAATCCATTTTTCTTTAAGCCTGTCTCTGGAAGTATAGGTTACTACCATGGGCAGATTTAGCAAGGCATCCCAAAATTTCTAATTTAACTTTTGAGTAAAAATGATCCACAACACCTCAGATGAGAACTTTGGAAATGCATGTAAATTACAAAAGTGATCCTCAAAGTTATATTGTACAAAATGGGATTTTAAAAAAGTACTTTAGAATTTAAAGTATAGTGATATTTTCTGGACAATGCATGCTCTCCTAACTCTTTCTTGTAATGGTTGGTAATTACACAAAAGTGGAAGGGTTAAAACTGAAGATACTTTGAGATGTTGCCAGTTAACTGTTGAGGTAAGTCTTTTGCTGTGTGCAGAAGATCAGATAGGATTTTCTGCCTGGATCATGCCTGGCTTGAACATTTTGTCCACCTTTATTTGGCAGTAAAATCACAAGACTTCTTGAATTCCTCCTTAAAAGTATCTAAAATCCTCTGTAGGAGCGGTTTATAAAAGTGTGCTTGCCTTGGATGTGGTGTTCTAATGGGGAGTAAGTGGGTGATAAATTTGGAGACTTTCAGGAAATCCAAAGGTCCAAGGAGCAGAAGCAGTTGCACATTTTGTGAACCCTGAAAGGGAACAGTTTGGGGACCTTATTTAAGAAAATTAATACAAAATTGGGCATAACATAGTATATTTATTTAGAGGGAAAAAAGTGATAACACGTTGGAAATTTCTGTCATTTTCAACTGGCAATCTTATTGGGCAATTTACCAGCAATGTGTATATAGACACGCTTCCTGTTTGCAACCTGGCTTCCCCTCTCCTGAGAATACTCAGCACCGCTAGCAGCCTAGGGTACCCACGGGGGCCTTCCTGGTGCGAAGCTTAAAACTGATGTTTCCTTATCTTCAAGGAGTGAGAGGCAAAGTGTGGCTGGAGGCAAAGGACTTGGGGACTCCTGAGGGAGAAGCCATTGCCAGATGAACTGACAGAGATTTCCACTTCATCAAAGATTCTAGGTGCACATGTCATAGAAGAGCTAGATTCTAATCTGAGGCTTCTAGACGGGTTGGTTCCCTGGGGATATCTTTGGCCTTTGGTTCTCCCAAATTTGTCTTTATCAGTCACTGTTTACTGAAGATCTTTGTCGCAAGTATGAAGTAGACACCTAGGAACTCCTGGTCTCTTGGAACTGCTTTTCCTGCCCACTGTGTGTTGCTTTAGGTGCCTGTATAAAGGTGCCATGGGAGCTTTGTGGAGTTTCTAGTGCTTGAGCTCAGTTTGGAGCCCTTAGTGAAGTTTCTGAGATGCAATCTGCAAAGGGCATTCTAAGTGGGCAGAGGGCCGTAGAAAGCCCTGTAGATTTGGAGCTAAAATCTGTTCATCAAGGATGTCCCTAAGTGTTTCTTGCTCTGTCCTTCCAGATCAGCAGCTCCTACATGAGATTAACTTGTTAGACACACCTGCCCCTTGCCACTCCTCAGCAGCAGCTCTGAATTTGAAGCACAGGAGTCTGTTTTAAGCACTCCCGATGATTGTGATACATGCAAAAGTTTGGGAACTGCAGCTTTTTAAAGGTTAAGGGATAGGAGGCTGAGGCAGGATGATGGCTGTGAGTTCTAGGCCAGCCTGGGCTACAAAGTGAGTTCAAGGCCAGCCTGAATTGTATAGTGAAACCCTGTCTCAAAAAAGACAAAAAAAAAAAAATCAGTTTAAGAGAGTGTGTGGGGCATGAGATCCACTGTGCAGATAAAGACAGGGAAGTAACACTAATGCTAATATGATGTTATTGTAATACAGGCTCAGTATCTCTAATCTGAAATCCAAAGTGCTCCATAATCAAAATGTGAGGGGCAGGCATGATACTACGAATAGAAAATTCCATTGTCATGGAACTTTGTTTCATGTACAGTATTATTAAAATAATGTGTGAAAGGACCTGGAGGCTATGTATAAATGAAAAATAAATGGATATATTTAGACTTGGATGTGTTCCCATGATACTTCCTGCTGCACTTATAAATATTCACAAATCTGAAAAATCCAAAATCTAAAAAGACTTCTCTTTCAATGTTTTGGATGAGGGATATTCCACTAGTGTAATAATAATTTGTGTGACTATCACTAACAGTATTGAGCACTCATGTTATGCTAGGCATTGTGCTAAAAATTTTTTTCTCAACCATCAGTAAAATAAGACATGGTTCTTAGCACTTAAATTTGAATGTGAGAAAACCAAGGCAGAGAGCAATAGAGGAGATTCTCCATGGTCACACATTTGGAAAATGGCCGAGCCAGGATTCAAGTACAAGGAAGGTGGTTCTAGAAACTTCAGTCTCTTTCCACTCGGGAAAGTTCTCCTGGATGCTGCTGCTGTGTTAGCGTCTGAGAGGCAGACCTGAGATTGCTTGGGATGTGGCATGAGCTATTTAATATTCTTGTCATGTCCTGACCACTTGGGTTTTTGGGAGATTTTCCAGAGGGACAAATTCCCAGATTCTAAAGGAAGAATGCTATTGTCATTCACTACTAGTACAAGCTTTAAAAATTTTAGGAGGACATGACTACATATGTATGATTGTATAACACAGAATGGCCCCTTCCTATAGCTTTATAATTTGCTTCTGTGGATTGCTTCAGTGGGGAACCCTGTTGGTGAATGTCGAAAGTTGCTTTCTTTAGAAATGCTGAGATTTCTTCCTTCCTTCCGTCTATGCATCTATCCATCCATCCATCCATCCATCCAGCATCCAGTCTGCCTATCTGTCTGTCTGTCTATCTATCTATCTATCTATCTATCTATCTATCTACCTACCGTGCTGGGAATTAAATCCAGAGCCTTTTAAATATTAGGCAAGCAGTCTACCATTGATCTACATACCCAGGCCAGAATAGTAGCCTCTTCTCCTAAAAGCCAATGCCTTCCCTAAGAACAAAATGGACTTGAAGGTGATTTTGTGTTAGAAGACATCCAGAAGAACTGTGCCTTGCTTTTTCAGTTTTTTTCTTAAAAGAAAATGTCCAAAATTCAATATAATTTGCCACTGGAATAGTTCCATGATGTGAGACACTGTGAATAATGATATGTGGATATGGGCATGAGCAGATGTGGGGGTGTGTAGAATGCTGGTTTGCCCTTGAGTATGAGTTTTAGGTTATTTATTGTCTCTGATTTTTTTTCCAGGGACAAATATGAACTTAACGTCATGGTGGACAGCAGAACCTAAACTGCCAGTACCTGCTGTCTCCCAGGCTTTCTTTTCTTCATATTGTAAAGATTGCCTGCCCCATTGTACTGACTGTTGTGTTAGGCGCCAGAGAGATACAGAGATTGCCAAGCAGACCTGACCCCTCTGGACCGGCAGAGTGACGTTGTGGGGAGCAGAGTTAGACACCCTGTCCTTCTGGCTGTGGACCAGCATCAGGAAAGCGTCCAGATTATTGTCATTTGGCCATGCCATTACCAGGCTGAAGTTAGTAGGGAAGTAGAAGTTTAGAAGGATCTGAGAGAAAACTAGGACAGTAAGAAGGAG